TATTTTTTTTATCTGTTCTGTCCCCATGTTCTCTCTACCTCTTCCCCTTCCCTTCCTCTTTTAACCCTTTCTGCCTCCACTAATCCCCTTCTGTACTTTATTTTTACCTGTGTTCTGCAGCCCTTCTTCTAAGGTTCTCTTTCGACCCCTACCCCTGACCTCTTTTAGTTTTGTGGCTTCTACAAGTACTCCAAGTTAAACACAAAAAACAAGAGAATATGTGGCATCTGTCTTTCTGGGTTTGTGTTACCTCACTCAATACTCCCGCCCACTCATTTCATCCATTTACCTGAAAAATTCAAAATTTAAGTTTTCTTTTCAGCTGAATAGAATTTCATTGAGTGTATGTAGCACATTTTCCTATTCATCAAGATGGGTGTCTAGCTGCTGCCATTCCCTGTCTTGACTACAGGATAGAGGTGAATGTGGATGAGCAAGTAATAGGACATAGATTACTTTGGGTATATGCCCAAGAGTGGTATGGATGAGTTGTGGTAATTTTATTCAAGTTTTTTGAGGACCCTCCAGGTTGTTTTCCGAAGTGTTCCGCTGTTCACTTTTCTGCCAACAGTGTAAAGGATACTCTGTGCTGCACAGGCATTTGTTGCCATTATTCTTGGTGATGGCTATTCTGACTGGGGTGAAAAGAAATTTTAAAGTAGTTATAATCTGCATTTCCTTCATTGCCAGGGATATGAAGTGTTTAGTAGCCATATGTATTTCTCCTCTTGAGAACTCTGTTTAGTTCTATACCCCATTTTTAATTGACTTGTTTGTTGTCTTGATGTTTAGCTTTTCTAATTCTTTCATAATCTAGTTATTAATCCTGTGTCAGATGTCTAACTGGCAAATATTTTTTCCCGTTCAGTGGTAAACCCAGTCTCATGTCCTTTGCATTGTTGCTTTCACAGCCTCTCTTGAGTTGACACCCCTTACTACCCGTGCCTTACCTTGATATTCATTCCACGTTCCTGGCATCTCTGACTTCCTAGGATCTGCATTGTATTGCACCATTTATGTCCCACTGTCAAAGATTCATAAATTACAGTTTTGGCCACTGTAGGAATCTTGACCTTTTCCCTGGCTTCCCAGGCATTTCTTTGAACTCTGGAGGAAAGCTTTTGTGATCATATAACTGACTTTGTGTGTCTGCAAAACCAGCCAAGGGCTTCTCCCAGCTTAAAGAGTCTTTGGGTCCCCTTGGTCACACCATTGAGGGCCTTGATAATGTTTCCTGGGCTATTCTCTGAGTAGGATACCCTAGAACTATCTCTCTTTCTTGTTTTTGTTTTTTAAGACAGGGTTTCTCTGTGTTAACAGCCCTTACTGTCTTGGAACTCCCTCTGTAGACCTGGCTGGCCTCAAACTCACAGAGATCCACCTTCCTCTGCCTCCCACATGCTGGGATTAAAGGTGTGCACCAACATCACCCTGCAAGCTCTCTTCTTAAAACAGAGTCAAATGGAAGGTGTAGTGTGCCTCCTCCTTCAGAGTCCTTCAAGTATCTTTTCTACTGTACTGATGTAGAGTATTTGACTTACTTTTAATAGTTTTTATCTCTTCAGCAACTAGTTTCCTGGCCCCAACTTATCAACAGTTCCTTTCTGGGTAAACTGCAAACTTTCCAGGCCTTTCTGTTGTGTTTTCCACTGTGATTCTATGTACAGTTAGCTAAAAGCAGCTAGCAGTAATCATGTTACAGCCTAAATGGTGTCTTGGTTTGAAATATCCTCAAGCAGATTAAGTACTCTACTTTGAAGTTCACAAATTCTCAGGACAAGAATAAATATAGGCAAGTTCTTTGCCAGAATGTAACAAAAATGGCCTCTGACTCAATTCCCTGTAGAATCCTTAGCTCTTGTTTGAAGCCTCTTGCGTACTGCCTTTACTGTCTATATTCTGTTGGTAGTCCGCGCCTGTATCTGAATTTCCCATTGAGCTCTGCTTCCAGCACTGTAGAACTCTCTAACTTGTATTGCCAAATGTTGTGGTTTGAAAGAAAATGCCCCCCAAAGCAGGTGGTGCTATAGGGAGATTTGGCTTTGTTTTAGTAGGTGTGGTCTTGTTGGAGGAAGTGTGTCACTGTGAGGTCTTTTTTGCTTAAGCTTTTCTTGGTGTTTCAGTTGATTTCCTGTTGCCTGCAAGATGTTGGACTCTCAGCTATTACTGTAGCACCACATTTGCCTGCACACCGCCGAGGTCCGGTCATGATGAAAATGTACTGAACCACTGAAACTGTGAGCCATCCCAACTTAATGTTTTCTTTTACACGAGTTGCCATTGTTGTGGTGTCCCATCACAACAATAGAAAACCTAACTAAGACACCAGGTTTTGTTCTGTTCTGAAGACTTCTGAATCATATCGTCAGGAAATTCATAGCAACAGCCCTACTTTTGGTATCAGTTAGAAGGCTAACTTAAGAGAGGAAAGCTTTATCTTGTTTCATAACTTCATAAGTTTCAGTCCATTATTGTAGAGGCAGAATGAAGCTGCTTACATTGTAGCAGATTGAAAAATATGATTTATTTTAGTTTTTTAAATTATATAATTCATGTGTGTTCGGTTTGTGTTTGTGCGCATGTACATGAGGTGTATTGTGTGCATGCATGTGGAGTCCAGTGATTGTTGTCAGGCATCTTCTCTAGTCATTCTCTACCTTATTTTCTAGACAAGGTCATTACTGAACCCAGATTCACCAATTTTGCTCTATGGTCATTGAGCTCAGGTCCTCATGAACATATGGCAAGCACTCTGGAGTAAATATCTCAGGTTCTAGGATTCTTCTTAATGTAGTACCTCTCCTCCATTCTCTGATTTCTAATTTTTTTATGTTACTGTTTTTTTTTTAATTTATTTCTTCTTGATTGGGTGAAATCACTCTGTTCTTAGAATGACCTTTCTTGTGCTGTCTTCTGGAAACTGTGTATAAGTAACAAGTGTGTACTAAAATGTGGAAGTATCCAGAGGGAGAAAAGTTGAGATTAATTTGTGGTTTATCTGACTTGGTTCCTTTTTTGTGGATTATTATTCATTCCTGCCTGGCCTGATGTCCCTAAATACCTCAGTATATAGTTAGTTTGCAGTCGTCATTGGGTCAAACTTAGGGCATGCTAGATACTCTGACACTGACCCCCATGTATGTCCATTTATTTTTAATTTACTGTAGTTTTATTTGTTTTAAAAATAAAAGATTGAGAGATAGCAATGAGGCCTAGACATAGAATAGAAAGTAAACATAAATGTAGACTGTGGATGTATCCTGGTGATTGAGTGCTTCCCTAGATTATAGAAGTCCTGCAGTCAGCCTCCAGCATTTCAGAAAAAGAAAACAAAGACCAGCTGATGGAGGAAGGTCATCTATCTATGTGTTGCTTTCATTGGTTAATAAAGAAACTGCCTCGGCCTTTGCTAGGACAGCAGCTTAGATAGACAGAGTAGACAGAACAGAATTCTGGGAGAAAGATGCAGAGTAAGGCAGAGGCAGAGAGCTGCCCACCATGAAGCTGCCAGGTCAAACATGCTGAATCTTTCCAGGTATCCTGTTCTATTTACTCCATCCACCTGTGTTCTGACCTATCAGGCCAAGCAGTTTCTTTATTAATTAACCAATGAAAGCAACACATAGACAGATGACCCTCCTACATCAGCCAGCTATTTCCTTGATTGCTTTAAGTAGCCAGTACATAATAAAAGCTCAAAGAATTAAGATGTTGGTTAGATTGACTGGTGATTTCTGTCTCTGGTATATGATGGTTAGCCTAATATTCTTCTTTTTCACTAAGTTTGTGACATAGTCATTTTAGACAGCTTTGAGCAGAAGGAAGATTGGCCACTTAGCCCAGGTAGAAGTAGATGCAGTGTTGTTTTTTTGTGCCATAGCTACTGAAGTTCTTCTCCATGCCATGGTGCTTCTCATATGTGGTTTATAACTCTTATCAAGCTCCCTTTTTTCATCAGACAGACTGTGACTACTCCTGCACTACGGTAAATGGGATTTAGGCTGCAGTGTCCTTTCCTGTGTCGTGGTTCTCCTTATCTGAGTAGGTCACTCCACCAAGTCCTGTTGCAGCTCTGGGACCTGTCTGCTTTTTGATCATCACCTTTCTTTTGCTCACAGTTGTATGGAGCAGGTCAAGCTGGGTCCACTTGGGCCAGGACTAGAGGGAGCTGCTGTCACTACCAAAACTATGGGGCAGTATCTCTCAGTACATATTTCATATGCATTTTCTAGTTTTGTAATTCTTTATAACAGGTGTATATACATATATATATATGTATATATATATATGTATATATATATATATATATATAAATCTTGCTGCATTTATTTGGTTATGATTTGAAATGTCTTAGCTTTCTGTAGCACAAAAAAATGAAAACCCAGAGGCAGAATTGGGGTTCAACCTGAAAACCTGAAAAGCAAAGCAGCCAAGCCACTAGAGAGTCTTACCTCTACCAAGACTAGGCGACTACAAACTAAGCAGACTAAGCCTCTCTCTCCTCTCATTTTATATTCCCTCTAGTTCTAGGATTTAAGGCGTGACTCCCTAGGACTGGGATTAAAGGTGTGAGCAACTACCATCTGGTTTGTTTCTGCATTGATCTTGTGTAGCCCAGGTGGCCTTGATCTCACAGAGATCCATCTGACTCTGTCTCCCAAATCCTGGGATTAAAGGTGTGTGTCACCATACCTGACCTCTAGTGGCTTTAGCTTTGCCTCTGGACTTTAGGCAAGATTTATTTGATTATTAAAATACAAATAGTATACCTCTATAACCTTCCATTTTTACCCACAATTTTAAATGCAGAATTAGCTTGAAATGCCTCATCTGTATCTACTAAGCAAGAGAACATGATGATACCTTGGGAATGTTAAAGGAAATAGAATATAGTTTTCAGATGTCATTAATAATCTAAGTCCTGTACAGTATTTCCCCTTTTATACACTCACATGGAGAGAGCTAGATTTATTATTAATCGTTAAATTTTTCATTTTTAGACCTAAAGACTGTCTTCGTTCTGTTATGAGAAGAGTAAACCATAAAGACCCCCATGTTGCTATGCAAGCTCTAACTGTAAGTCGGTTCATTTTAAGTAAGCAGCACTGCTTAATTGTCTTTCAGCATTGAACTCTTTTAATTTTAACTTTATGCTTATAGCTTCTAGGAGCATGTGTATCAAACTGCGGCAAAATTTTTCACTTAGAAGTGTGTTCAAGAGATTTTGCTAGTGAAGTAAGCAACGTATTAAATAAGGTAAGGGACATTATGTCCAGACATCAAGGAAGCCGCCTTTTTTCATGTATTTTATTGTTAAGTTTTTCCCATTTTAAATTCCAAAGAATTTGTGTGTTTGTGTATATGTGTTCCTGGATTATAAATAAAAGTTGTGTTTCTGTGTGTCTGTGTTTCCTTAAAAAGACTACAAATCCACATAAATTTTAGTGTTGGTTTTTTTTGCAAATCACATTAAAATAGATTCAGTGTTTTTCTATCCTTTCGTCTGAGAAGAAAACATCCATTCCTATATATTTAATGAAATACTACCAATCTGCTTTAGGCACTTTTTTGGTACCATTTTTATATACAAAAGTATTTCCCTAATGTAGAATCCTTCAGAAGAAACTGCCAGAATTTAAAGTCCTGTTGAATGTTCTTCTTATGTGAACAGGGACACTACCTGACTGACCACCACAGGGTTTTCCTATTAAGTTACTGTTCTATTGGGCCAGACCTGTAGATAGAGAAGTTCTTACTAGGGACTAACCCTAAGCCAAGACTGGGCCCATTGTGATTCCAAACTAAGAAGTACTCAATTCCAGGAGCGTCAGCTCGTAGCACTTGTTAGTGGAACTTAGATACTAAGGACAGCAGAGTCCTTGTGATGGACAAGGTAGAAAGAGATAGTCTCTCCAGATATGTCTATAATGAAGGTGCCTGGTCAGAAAATTATAGGATGATCATACTATGGACTTGAAGAAATTGCTCAAGGCCAGAGTGGATTCTGTGTGTTTAACCACATAGTTGATCCTTAGTATTTCAGCCAAGAATTTAAACAAGCCTGACTTATTTTCAAGTTTATAGAGGAAAACGTGTAGCTGTTCTGGTCATACAGGTGTGTGTATGTTTTTATCTGGACAAAGAAAGCAAGATAGTTGGGAACTCTAATACTGCATATCAGAAAAAATTCAGTGCATAATTCAAGGAGTCTAAAAATAGAAAAGTAACAGTCTTTCTAGTAAAAATTTCATGTTCTAGAAGTAATTATTTCTGGCTTAAACTATTTGACATTGTATGTCGAAAAAGGCTTTAATGTTTATAGGGTAATTCTTCAGGTCATTGTGAAGTATATGAATGCTTCTGAGTGTTAGTAGGAAAAAAAAACTTGTACAGAAATGTGAAAGTAAATAAAAATTTTATAGATCTCAATCATGATTCCCTTTTCTGTTGCAGTGAATCACAATTGTTGTTTTTTAACTAATGAATGAACACGCTTTACAGTGCTGTGAATGTCCAGTAAGAGGAATGATTGTTTAAGAGGATAGTTTGATATCATATTTTTCTGTAATTTTAAGATGCAGGAAAAAATTACAGAGTACTATAAACAACTGTCTGTAAAGACAGAAACATATATAAAGAGAACTTTAAATGTGCTTAGCTTTTCCTCAAGGGGAGGTGCTCTTTGGAAGAAAGGGAGCTCCTAAGATAATTAGCACGTAGTGTGCTTCACCCAGACCTCAGCTAAGAGTCATGGGAAAACTGAAAGGAATAAAGTAAGGAGAAAGAAACCCTACCATTTATTCTCTCCTTGGAGTTTTTTTTTTAAATAAATATAATTAGCAATGCAAAATAAGTTATTTTCTTTGTTGTGCTGGTGTACAAAGCATATAAAGTTGTAAGTCACACTGAGAAGACCTGTCCTTTCAGTCTCCAAAGGAAGTTTATTACACTTTCATGTTTCAGTTTTGGAGTGAGATATAGGTATCTTTTTATTGGTTTTCATGGTATGAAAGTAATGTTGATTTATAGATGTTAACCATTTTCTTACTTTCATAAGTGTAGTCTATTGCTTTAGGAAATGAATATATACATACAAAATATATATATTTAATTTTATATTTAAAAGGGCATCTCTTATAGAGGGACAATTTGTGATTTTAAAAGAGATCTGTAACACTTTAGAATTTTTATATTTTTTTTTCTTCTTTCTATTTTTATTTTTCTGTTCCTTAGGGTCATCCTAAAGTATGTGAAAAATTAAAAGCTCTCATGGTTGAATGGACAGATGAATTTAAGAATGATCCACAGCTTAGTCTGATATCGGCAATGATTAAGAACCTTAAGGAACAAGGTGTTACATTCCCAGCTATTGGCTCTCAGGTATTTTGTGCTGCTGTTCATTTCTTTCTTCTAAAGTAGCTTTGTCTGAATTTTTCTCTAGTTTTCATTTATAGTTAACTTCGACTGCTGTAGAGTGGTTTACAGTAGAATATTAGTATGCTTTAGGCTCTTTTTTCCCAATGCCTCTCCTTCAAAAAGGAGTTGCTTTAATGTTTTGTAATTTAAATTCTTCGTTTAGTTTTACTACAACAAATTGTATTAGATTAGGTAACAATGGACAGTCTTGTTAAACACTATTAACACTGTTATTTTATCTACAAAGAATGATAGCTTAAAAATTAGGATATCTTTTTATTGAGGAATATATGAATACCTTTATTTAAATTAGGAGATAGGAGAGGCCAATGGGACAAGAATCAAATGAGACGACTTTTATTTTTTTAAACAAGAGCTAGGTAGATCCTGAGTCTTGCTTTCCCTCTAAAAGATCATTGGCGCAGGGGTAGATTTCCTTTGGCACACACAACTTTCTGTGTAATGCAGTGTGTTTCTGATTTGTGTCATACAGTTAAAAAGTTAAGGGACATCTTTTATATGTCTTTTCTATTCTAGGTAGCCAGTCCTTAAGGGTGTGTGCATAGTAATTTTGTATATTCTCTTTTCCTGCTCTATGGATTGAAGCAAATTCTAACAAGTTATGTGAAACCATAAAGCAAACAATCCCTTCAGTGAAGAGCTTACCTTCTGACTGTTGACCACATTCAGGATCAATTCTATACTTTTGTCTAGAGCTATCTAGATTTTCTTCACAAGGCATTTTCATTTTATTTGAGTGCACTTTAGATGAGAAGACCAAGAGAAATATCCAGGAGAGAAAAGAAGCAAGTGGATTATTTTCTTTTTGCCTAATAAACTAGTTTTTAAAATTAAGTTTATGTTGATATGTCTTAATATTCATTCATAATTGATAGCTGGATTTTGTTAATAATCTTGAAATTTTGAAATTAATGATTTTTATATAAAACAATCCAAGGTACTATAAATTCCTTGGTAACAGAAACAATGTCTATCAAAAAGTAGCACTGGAGAGATACAGAGCTAACTTAGTGTAGTACAATTAATAAAAACCTGGAGAAAAATATTGGGGTTCAACCAGAGAAGCAAGCAGCCAGCTGCTGGCTCTTACCTCTACCTCAGACTGAAATGGCCATCCTACCTCAAGGAATCTTCAGAATGAAACTGAGCTGAGACCTGTCTTCTCCTGTCTTATATTCCTCTCTAGTGCTGTGATTACACCACCACCACCCGTCTTGTGTAGCTAACTAGTGTGACTATTGGGATTAAAGGTGTGTACCACCACTGGCTGGTATATATGGCCAACCAGTGTGGCTATTTTTTAACTCTCTGATCTTTATGCAAACTTTATTTATTAAAATAGAAATAAAATATCACTACAACTTAGTAGAATTGCATTTTCTATTGCTCCAAATGTGATTCATTGACCATCATTATCACGATTTCCTGGGAGATTATCAGGACTCCAGCCTCTGAGGTGTTCCTCCACACCTGTGGACTCATTGTCTCCATTTAATAAGATCCCTGGGTGCTTTTCACTGTGCACAGGGAGTTGAGAAGCACTACTCTAGACCGCAGCCTTCAGTGCAAATGCAAACACTTCTGAGTCCATAGATGGATTTGCCCTTGTAAAAGAAGGAAATGGTAGTGATGTATTTCACGTGGAGCCTCGTTCATTAGTCTAGAATGTTAGTTGCGAGAGCAGCTTCAGGGGTCCTCTAATGTAATCCCTTCATTTGCAAATGAGAGAACTGATTCTGAGAGTGGCTGCAGAAAAGACATCACTAGATAATTCAGTTCATTGTTGTTGGGTTTTTTTTCCCACTATCTGTTCTTGCCTGCTTTCTGATAGCATTTACTAGATGCACTTCTGTTTAGATCAGGCTTCATGGGACAAGAAGTGTAGTGGTCACTGCCAAGAGCATTTATTAATGATTGGTATAGAAATTACATTATTCTCTTGTTCACATTATTTCAGATGTGGAAGACTTAAAACTTTTTATATAGATGCATGCAAAAACATTTTTATTCTAATTATTATCTTTCAGCTATAGAAAATTGCATAGAAAGTAAATTATTTCTTAAAAGCTTGTCATTAGAAATTATAAAACTGTTTAATGAAAAGCAAATGATACAGGTCCAACTGCAGAGTCTGCTCTAGACTTTAAATCTACTTAGCTACTGAAGTCCTTGCTGCAGTTTCATGAGGCTAGATTTTTATCAACAGACTTAATAAAAGCTTCTGAAGATATAAAGATTTATCTAATTTTTTTATTCAAAGACAGAAGAAAATGATGTAAACATGTTGTGGAAATCATATTTCACACTTGACTCATGCTGCACAGTCCTGTTAGGTCTTGACATAGTAGTAGACCACTAAAACTGCTACCATGCTGACTAGTTAATGATGAGTGTCTCGGCTGGTTAATGCCCCTCTTGATAGCTGCAGAGCACACAGTTTAGAAACGTGCTTCTTCATATGACTTCTTCCTGTACTTCCCTCAGAGTTGGTAGATGATTTCATCAGAGTATAAAATAGCAGCTTGTGTGTTTTAAGTCAGCAAATAATGAAAAAATGTATAGAAATGATAAAGACTGTCTGACCAAGTACACTTTTAACTTGTAGACACGTATACTAGTCACAACAGAATCTAAGAGTCTATGTAGATGATATGGGTCAGAATTAAGAGTGGCTAAAGTTGTGTTTAAATGAATATATGAAACTCGGAAAAACTGCCTAGGCATCTGGTAGTGTACAGTACAGTGTGACAAATCTACAGCTATGTTTTGTTGTTATGTTTACTGTTTGCCTTGAATTATTGATTGCTTTTAAGAAAGAGTGAGACACATTTCCTGGACTATAGTCTGGTGGGAGAGGCAGAAGCTCAGTTATACTAGAAACTGAGATTTACTGCCCCTTGCTGTGTATCAGCTATTGTTCTGAGTACTGTACATGTGATAATGTGAAAAATTCTTATTCCACTTTTCTTAATTGATTGCAGTGATTTCTTTATTGATTTGTAATCAAGTTAGTGCTATATTGTTTACTCCCTGTCTCAACATCTCTTGAAGTTTTCATATGAATCACCTCTATATACATTATGGTGAACCCCTAGATATAAATGTCATACTTCTGCTTTGAACTCAGATTGAACCTCCTCTCATCTGATTTTCGAAGCTATACATGCTAACCTGGGCTTCTAAATTTGTTGTAATGCACCCATGAGAAGCAGATATTCTTATATCCTTACTTTATTGCAGAGCTAAGGCATCAAGGTGTCATATGGCTAGAGACACCTGATATCATGTGACTAGAAAGTATGGTAAATGTCAATCTTATGTTTGCCTGATTCTTCAACTTGTGATTGTTTGTTTGTTTGTTTTTCAAGGCAAGGTTTCTCAGTGTAACCTTGGCTGTCCTGGAACTCGCTCTGTAGATCAGTCTGGCCTCAAACTCACATAGACTCTGCCTCTGCCTCTGCCTCCTGAGTGTTAGGACTAAAAGCATGTGCCACCACACCCGGCATTCAGCTTGTATCACCCATTTTATATTACCTTGTCCCAAATCCTTGTTTAAGTACTAGAGGTCACAAAGAATGTTTAACTGAGGGTTTGGGAATGTTTTCTTTGAGAAAGTGATTTGTTAGCTACTTACTATCGAGTTGGAACTTAGTAGGGACAAAAAGCAGTGATGGAGCACAGTGAACCAAGTGGAACATTATAAATAGAAGCCAATATGGACCATGGGTGTAGAAGTTGCCGTGTGTAGTCTGCTCAGGAACCACTATTACCTTCTGGGAACTTGCAAAATAATCTACATTCTGATCTGCATTGAGTGAATGGATAGCCTAAAAGGCCATGAAGCTTAGAAGCTTCTAATTCCAGACATGTGAATTAGCACATACCTATCTAAACATTGTCTTGTTCATGATATAATTGTCAGCATGACGCTCTATCGAAGTTGCTTGTATTCTTGTTTATAAAATGCGGTTTTAAGATTTTATTTGGCTGGGCAATGGTTGTTGCACACACATTTAATCCCAGCACTCGGGAGGCAAAGGCAAGAGGATCTCTGTGAGTTCAAGACAAGTCAGCTCTACAGAGTGAGTTCCAGGACAGCTAGGGCTACAGAGTGTTTGTTTTTAAAGTATTTCCTTGCTTTCCTCTCCTAACTGACCTCTCTTCTAGTTCTGAAATTCTTCTAAAATTATAAAATATTTTGTTTCTTTTCTGACCTGCACATTGTTTTTAGTTTATCGTCTTTATATTAATCTGAGAAAATGCAGATGGTTTATCAACCTGTCCTGTTGCTTTTCATTTTCCCATTTCTGATGTTCCTTTCTCTTTCAAGTGGAAGGCCTTCCAGACTGGTTGTCTGTCTTCTTGAGAATTCTGTAGTAGACTAATGAGGAGGGTGTTACAAGGTTTTAGGTTAGGTATCCATAGACTATTTGCGAATGACTCTCACTCCTTGTCTTTACTTTTACATGTATGTTAGGCTGCCGAACAAGCGAAAGCAAGCCCAGCTCTGGTAGCCAAAGACCCTGGCACTGTGGCTAACAAAAAGGAAGAAGAAGATTTAGCAAAAGGTGGGTGTGGTTTGTAAGTCCTGGAAGGAAGTGAAAAAGATAGGTCTCTGGCTGAATAGCATTTCATAGCAATTTATAGATTAAGGAAATGGCTTCAGATGAAGCAGAGCTGCTTTACTTTTTAAATGAAGTTTGTCTTTTTATTATTCAGAGTTACTTAAATTGTAATTTTTCAATAAAAATGTCAAAATTTAAAGTTATTTTTACTTCAGTGATGGGTAAATGTATATAGTGTCTAATGATTTGTTATTGTATGAGGATAAGCACTAGTCTCCTGTTCACTATTGAAAAATGATACTTTCAGTGTATTATTGGCTATATTCATAAAATCTCATTGTTTTATAGCAATTGAGTTGTCTCTCAAAGAGCAAAGACAGCAGTCAGCCACCCTTTCCTCTTTGTATCCAAGCACATCTAACCTCCTAACTGACCACCAGCATGAAGGTAGAAAAGTTCGTGCTGTATATGACTTTGAAGCTGCTGAGGATAATGAACTTACTTTTAAAGCTGGAGAACTTATTACAGTTCTTGATGACAGGTAATGGTTACTTATACATTAAATGCTTGAGAAAATATATTGTATAAACCCTTATTTTAATAATTTTTTATTGAGTATAATTAATTACCAAACATAAAATATTGACTAGATGTTTTAGATGATGGTTAACAGACTTGACTCATACTATATTGATTCATTTTGTAGTGTAATTTTTGCCTCATTTATGTTACTTAAATTGTTTGGGAAACCTGTTATTTTTTTGTTTATTTTTTGTTCCATTTAGTAATTTAAATTGTTAAATCTTATAAAAGATTAAAGTTTCAGAAAATAGGGTGGATTGATTTGAAGGAAGTACATGATCTATTGATAGTATCCATATAGAACTGTAGATCCATGTAATATAATAGTTTTATGCTTGTGTCATGGGGGAAGAGCTGCACAGCATAAGTTTTTCAAGTTTTCATTGCTTTAGTCTTTAGTGTTGCCAAATACCATTAAACAAAAGAGATTTATTTCTCTTAGTTCTGAGATTGAAGAGTCCAAGATCTGTCAGATTTGGCACATAGTTTGGGCCCTTTCTTTCAGTTTCAGACATAGCTGTGTGTTCACTGTGGTATCGTATGTGGCAGAACAAGCAAAGAAACAATTGGGAATCTTTTTTTATAAGGTTACAGATCCATCATGAATTAATCACTTTCCAAAGATACCCCTTCTGATTTCAGCATGTGAATTTTAGAAAGACAGACATTCAGTATATTTTAGTATTTTCATGAAGAAGCCAAAATAAGGTAAATTTAGAGCTGTTTAGCTGGAATTGCATCATTCATTCTTTGGGAAAAGGATTTATTGCACACTTGCTCACTTTCTGTATAGTGAGCACTGGAGACAGTTCTGTTTCAGGTTTTGTACTGCACGTGGCATCATCTTTTGTATGTGTCAGGTTGGAAGAAGAAAACAGTCCCTATTAGTGTATGCGTGGAAGAGTAGTGGTGTAGGGGTGGAGATGTGGCCCAAGAGTCCATGTCCACATCTTACTAGAAAGAGCTCTTATGTTGAAGCTCAAGGTACTGTCTGACACTGATGATCTTAAGCCTGATGATCCCTTTTTGGGGGAGAGTTCATAGTTTTTTATTAGATTCTCAGAGAATTTACTGACCTTCTGGGGGAAAGAACTGTGGCTTCAAAAACTTCTGTTGGTGGGGTTTATTTTCTCTTTGTATCAGAACCTCACACTAATTGATGATGCCATTGAAACTGTTTGCTTCCTGTTTGTGAATATAGACTTCTATCTTCTTTATTAGATTGATGATTGAATTGGGTTCCAGTTGGTGATAATGCAAGTTAAATACTATGAACAGTAAAGTCTTACAGAAATAGGTCTCATGGTAAAGCATTCTTTTTTTGTCTTAGTGATCCCAACTGGTGGAAAGGTGAAACCCATCAAGGCATAGGGCTTTTTCCTTCTAATTTTGTGACTGCAGATCTCACTGCTGAACCAGAAATGAGTAAGTACTTTTTGGTCTGTGGATGGATGATAGGTAATCCATTGTCTTCTTGATGAAAGTTGAGTAAAATCAGCTTTACAGGCAAATGACTTAAACATTTTTGCCTCTGGGTGTTTTAAATAATAAAATTCCAAGCTACATATGGTGGTGGTGCATGCTTGTAATCTCAATTCTCCTGCAGTCCCAGTATGTGGAGGAGTAACTGCTATACAGTGAAGTGAAGGCCACCCTGAGCTACATGACACCTTGTCTCTAAAAGCAAATAAATAAAAATCCATATCAGAAACATGCTAAGAGTTAAAGCACTATGTTTGCCAGTTTTTGTTCTATGTATTTGCCATAAACTACATAGCAGATAGATGTGTTAGGAATGAAGAAGTCTTTAACAGCAAGTCAGAAATCATAGATCTTTAATAAAATGGTTTTCTCTCATAGCTACTGACTTGTCTTTTTACTTTTGAGGAGTCAGATCTTAAAGTCCTTTAACACACTTGCTAGAGCTAAAATAATCATTGGAACTCAGAAGTGCATAAACTTGGGGACTGGAGAGATTGGCTGGGGGGTCAGAGGATCCAAGTTCATTTCCCAGGACTCACATTGAGTGACTTAAAACTACCTTTAACTTTGAGCTCCAGGGGTTCCAATGCCTCTGCCATTCTCACGTACCTGCACTTACATGCACATACTCTGAAACACAGACAGGCATGTCTGTCTAACTTTTTTTTTTTTTTTTTAAAAAAGGCATTTAAAAAGCCTATGTAGGCCTATTTGAATGACCTTGCGTGGTATGTCTTTTTTAATAGTCTGATCAGCTGTAGGTATCTGTTGTGTTTTGTGTTTTGTGTGTGTGTGTGTGTGTGTGTGTGTTTTCAGAATGAGAGCCTAGATCTCACTCATGCTTGCTATGTAGCTGTTTCATCTTTATCTTTCATGTTAATATGCAACTGTTACTGTGAATTTTCTAATTCTTGTATGTTTTACTTTGGATAATATAAGAGAAACAGGAGGCTAGGAATCTATGTAATGTAATAATAGACCTCAGATTTAGAAAACGTGCTAGGATCCCTGTAGCATCAGTCTTTTATAGGAAGTAGAACCCAAATTCACTTGATCTGTCACATAGATACTCATGTTATTTTATTTTGGAGACAGTTATTGTGAAAATATGCCATTATATATGTAAATAACATTCATATTTTGTATATCATATATATTTGGTATCAGTTCCTATGAGAAAAGGAACTGCAAACTTATGCATTATCAGTTCTGTGAAGTCTGTCATGTGTTTTCTTTTGGGTGAGAGCCAGTGAATGCAGAGTTGTCCCAGCTTTCTACTTGATAATAGTGGATAACAAGCAGTATGTCTGTAACAGATGTCTCTTTCCCCATGGGAAAATGAGTCAGCCACTTGTGTTCTGTTTTTTGATATGTAGAATTTGGCTTTATGGTGACTTGAATGGAATGAACATGTTCCTTACATTTCCAATTAAACAGGCAATCCCAAAGCCTGTGTACATGACAACAACAACTTTTCACAGGCAAGTCACAGGCCAGATTGCAGTAGGAAGTTAAAAGACAAGACCAATTGACATTCAAGTCCGGCCTTTCCAATTGATAGTTTTCTTTTGTGCGAGAGATTCTAATCGTTTTAAACCACTTTATTATAAGTAAGTCTACCATATAGGATTGTTTTGGAAATTCGTCAGAGCAAATTAATACTCCATTAAGCACTTTGAGTCGTGTAATGAATAATTATTTCTGTCCATAGTTCCTCCTACTGTGACATCTCGCTTTTCATTTTTATTCCTGACATTTTCATGTCTTATTGACCTAATTGATGCAAGGACCAAAAATCCAGAGAAGATAATCATTGTCTAGAACGGTCTATACTTTTTGGTGTTATTTGAAGATGAAGATTGCTTTGGTGAGCAAGAGAAATCTGTTTAAGGCCAGTTGTTTACCATGTTTCTCTTTTGAGTACAGTGATTGTAGAAAATCGGGCTTATGTGCTGGCCAGTGCAGATTTCTGCTGAGGCTGCTTTTGTGGTTCTTCACTGGTCTTGATGTTACTCTCTGGGTAGATAGCCCAGTGCCATGCCAGAGGACATACATGATTTTCCAGTTCATTAGTTTAGGAATGTGGTGTTGCTATCAAAAAATTTTTTCTTTTGAATTGTCAGGTCATTTTAAAAGAATTGTTTTAGATTACAGAATTTATTTATGCCAATATTAAGCTTTATTTTTGTAGCAATTTATTGAATCCTGAAGTAGGTATTTTTTATTTCAGAAGCATAACTTATTTTTAGTAAGATTGCTTATAGGAAACAAAGATCTTTGCAAGAAAAAAGTAGAAAAATTTAGACAGTTTTATCAAATAGTGTTTTGTCATGTTCTAGGACATCTTCAGTTCAGCTCTACCTTATATTGAGTCTCTAAAGTTCATATTCTCTATTAGGACTTAAACTTTTAGATTTATTTTAAGGAGAATATAATTTTTATGTTTTTTTCTCAAGTAAAAACAGAGAAGAAGACGGTACAATTCAGTGATGATGTTCAAGTAGAGACAATAGAGCCAGAACCAGAACCAGCCTTTATCGATGAGGTGAGTGATTTTCTTGTTAACAGTGATGAACTCTTTGTATAGAAGCTGGATTACTTGTTTTCTTGTTCTGAAAATGTTAACAGTATAGACAAAGTGTATAATGTTGTTACAACTTTTTCGGTTCTATTTTTTCCTTCCTAAGATCTTGTTATTTATCCTGCTAAGGGTTGATGATATAGTTCAGTAGCTGAACATTTATGTAGCTTGTGTGAAACTCTGAATTGATCTCAGTGCTATAGAAAGGGAATAATGTAAGATTGAATGTAAATTTCTGTTTAGTATTTTATAGATTGGATTTATATTGATGTATTTGATTATTGGAAACTTAGGCAATTTCCAATTTTAATTGCTATCACAAACAGTATATAGCAATGTTTTTTTTGTTTTGTTGTTAGCATTTAATTTGCTTTTCTTAGCTTAGATGTTCAGGAATGGAACTTCCAAACTGAAGGATCTATGTGTTTTTCATGTTAATAGATACTGTGAAATTGTTGAACAGAAGGAGATTTATAGTTTTGTTGATGTTCTGTAAGAATACCTGCTTTTTTATTTTATGTTATTTTTATTGTAATATTATTGAAACTATACTTTACCTTATACTTTATTAAAAACTTAGCTTATAATGGATAAAAGACTTCAGCGTAAGATCTGAAATTAAAAATCGCAGAAGAAAACACGAGAAAATTCATCTTGATTTAGCCAGGATGATGATTGGTTTCTCTAGATATGTTGCCCAAAACATAAACAATAGCAGTAAAAATAAGCACATGGGATCATACTAAACTCTAGAATTTCTGTATCTTTTTTTTTAAGTTGCCAATTTTCTTTTATTAGATCATTTGTTAAGGGAGTTTTTAGGGATTATTTCCAAGGAAGCAAGTAAACCCAAATGTGGGAAAACTAAATTATATTACCTTACTTTAAAGAATCAAATCTTTTAACACTTAATTAAAGTATTTTGGGTACACATTTTAAAATTTAACATGCAGCTACATATATATTTAAACTCCTTTTTTTGAGATAGAACAACTCTGTAACTCAGGTTTCTCCAAAACTCATTGTGTAGTCCAGGCTACCGGTGATCCTGGCTCAGCCTCCCAGCTGCTGGGAATATAGTTCTGAGTCATCATGTAGGTACAAGCTTTGTTTACATTTATTATTTTTATTAAGAAAGTTAAAAAGGCATACCACAGTTACAATATTTTTTTTTGTTTGATGTCTTTTTTTTTTTCCTTTTTATTGAGCTCTACATTTTTCTCTGCTTTCCAAGGTCCCCATGCTCCCAATTTACTCAGGAAATCTTGTCTTTTTCTACTTTCTACTTCCCATGTAGATTAGATCTATGTAAGTCTCTCTTAGAGTCCGCTTGGCTGTCTAAGTTCTCTGGGGTTGTGGTTTGTAGGCTGGTTTTCTTTGCTTTATGTTTAAAAGCCACCTATGAGTGAGTACATGTGATAATTGTCTTTCTGTGTCTGGGTTACCTCACTCAAAAGAATGTTTAGAATTTCAGTATTTCGAAACAATCATTTGATAGAATGAAGAGGAATTCTACAAAGTTTGAAGAAAGAATTGCAAACCACCTCTGAGGAAATGTTACTAAATAATACACATAAGTAACTTAAAGAAGTCAGTATTAAAATAAACAAACAAACGTAAAAATAAATAAATGCTATAAAATTAAAATCCTACCTTAAGGAAATGTCTGTGAAACAAAATTTCCTGAGTTTGAAGTCAGGTTCAACTACTAAATTTATAAATTATTTTCTTCAGTTTTCAGTCTGTTTTATGAGAAGTGGGAAGTAATCAAACATAATACATTCTTTACCCCTCTGAAATATAATTGAACATTGGTCAACTGCTCTAGTTAGTGTACCACTTCTGGTCAGCATTTTACTTAAGAAGACAAATACATGTTTTACTGAAAATGATGTCTGTTTTTGAAAGAGAATACCTGCTTTTTCAGATACGCAACAGTCATTAAAATTGCTTGTACATTACAGACTATGGAACACTTCCTGTCATTTAAAGAATAAAACAAACTTGCTGGTTTTCGAATGAAGCTCTCTTTAAATTAAACCAGATCAGTCAAATGAATTTTGCTTCTTCTTTGGATTGAACACATTTAAGTCTTTGGGAAAAGCTTATATTAATTTTATTTTAAATCTGTCCATATGTTATTGTTAATCTGAGACTAATTATTTTCAGTGGTTGTATTTGAAAATACAATTAGTTGTAACTCTAACAGTAGTTTTTGGAGTCAGGGTAACTTGTTGGTGTATGTGTTTGTCTTACAGTGCTAGGATTGAGCCTAGGGCTTTTTCTTGTAAGGCCAGCCCTCTACCTCTGGGCTTTGTCTCCAACCCAAACTTGGCATCCTCGGAATTAAATTAATATGTCATAATTTCCTAAACTGCATAGAAATCTTTGCTATTACTACATTTTTATCGTGAATCATGTTTGTAGCTGTGTATTTTTTAAATTTATCATTTTTATATGTATGGATGTTTTTTGCTTATGTGTAAATCTGAGCACCATGTGCCTGTGAAGGCCAGAAGACAGTTTCTGTCTCCTTAGAACAAGACTTGCAGATAGTTGTCAGCTGCCATGTGAGTGCTGGAAATTGAACTTTGGTCCCCTGGAAAAGCAACCGTTCTCTGTCACTGAGACATCTTTTCAACCTCTGCAGTTATATTTTTATATTCAAAGCTATTAATAGTATTAATTGTTTTGAATAGTAATATCAACATTGTATTGAATTAACTTAGTAAATGGTATTAAATGATGGAATTAACAAGTCATACATGATACTGTCCCCAGCAGACCAAATTTGAAATATAATGACATTCTTATGTAGTTGTATTACATACATACCTACATATGTATTTTCTGACTGTCTTTGTGCTGAAGTTACTGAAGAGATCGTATAGTCCTCATGTTTGCTATCTGGCCCCTGGTAAAGATCAGTGTAGAACACTCTTCAGAACTTCATTTTCTTGTGTTAGTTTCTTGTATTAGAGGTTGATGTACTTGAGAGCACTTTCTGCCATTATTTTCCATTTTCTTTCTCTTCCTTTAAAGTTTCTTTCTCTACTATACAGATGAAAGCCTCATCCTGTGCCCATGTTGAGCCTCACTGTGGTGCATTAATTTCTAGCAGCATTTCCAATATCGGTGGTGGTGATGACAATTCAGATGGTTTCACACATTTTTGTAACAACAACAAAAATGATGAGCAGAGCACAGTGAATTACTAGCTAATAGATTATTAAATGCAATTTTTAAAATTTTATTTTACTTCACATCTTTGGGTATTTTGCCCAGATTTATGTCTTTGCACCAACAACTTAGATGTCAGGTGCCCACAGAGGCCAGAAGGAAGCATTGGGTTTTCCTGGAACTGGAATACTAGATAGTTGCAGGCTACCATATGGGTGCTGAGAATCAAATGTGGCTCCTCTGAAAGAGCTGCTAGTGTTCTCAAATGTTGAGTCTTCTCTTCAGCCCCTAAAAATAATTTTTAGTAAGCTACTTAGCATTCCTGTTATAACACTCAGAAATGATAGCAATAACTCAGTGGTACTCTTCCCATTATTTTCACCTGTAACAGTGTAAATATGAATGACCTTGAATCCTGGCTCATTTGATTATTTTAAATTTGAACTTTGTTACTTCAGCCCATTATATACTAGTAGAAATCATTAATGCCTATAGATGAATTTCACAGACTATTGCCAATTTATATACATACTTTTATTTTAAAGAAGTATTATATAGTTTTCTAGATATTATTTATTAGATAAAATTTTGTAAGAGGTAGTGAGCAGAAATACAGTGAGTCAAAGAAAAACGATCAATTTGAAATTACTGTTTTAAAAACTATTGTTTGTCTTTATGATCCTTGGGGGCCGGAAGCCAGTCTTGTACATGACTGGCAAGTGATCTACTGAGCCCCATCTCCAGCCTGGTCTAAATGGTAGTGCTGCTGCTTTCTCTTTGAGAGAAAGAAGAGTGTGAACAAGTGCTAAGTACTGAGGAATCCACTGGGTTAGGGAACATTCTGCTTGGCCAGATTGCATTACAGAAAGAAATGTCTGAGTACTCAGTTGTGGCTCATATAGAAACCATGTTGTATTAATAGAAGATGAACATGAATCTTTTACCTTGAAAGGATATCCATTTTAAAATACAGAATTCATTTGACTTAACAGGAGCTTTCCTCTACTTCCAGTCTAACAATTCATCTCTCAAACAGTCTGTGCTTGAGTTTTACGTAGAACTTGTAGTCTTTAAATTATTAGCTGCGTGTACCTACGTGTAATAGCCTCACTATATAGGAATTTGAGTGAAAAGAGTTTGTAATAGTTTCCATAGACTTTGGTAAATTAAAACATGTCTCTTGTATAATGCACAGGTCTGTTTATACAACTGCCTTTTTTAGTTTCTTCAGTCCCTAAGTACTAAAGGGTTCTGAAATGGAGCCAAGTAAGTGGTTTGGGATATTATCTATCTTTTTCCACACACAAAAAAGAATAAGCTACAAGCTTTATTTCTTCTTTTATGACAAACTGAAAGTTGATAGAAAGAGAACAGATTAAATCCTTAGAGCTCCACTTAGAGGAGCAGCTGTGAAAGGCTGAGCTCTGCCTGTGGAGCAGCTGTCACACTCCCTGCCAGCGAGACGTCATGACTGAGCTGTTAGTCACAGCAGACTGTCTTGAGAGGGATGCTCCAACTCTTGTGTGCCTAAGCTACAGCTGCTCCAAAACAGAGGGAAATTCTTGAACATGATATGTATAAAAGATTGGGGAAATTATACCCTGTAAGTTTAAATGGATGGTCCGGTTCTCATTTGAACATTTTTAAAAATGCCTACTAATAGCAAACAAGGGTCTGATTTTGCGGGTGCTAAAGGGAATATATAAGATGCTAAACACAGAAAAGGAAATTAACATTCCTAAGTATAAACTAAAAATTTCTATCTGAAGGTTGGTGGTGGTGGCACACATGCCTTTAATCCCAGCACTCTGGAGGCAGAGGCAGGTGGATCTCTGTAAGTTGAGGCCAGCCTGGTCTACAAAGTGAGTTCCAGGACAGCCAGAGAAACCCTGTCTTGGAGAATAAAAATAAAACTTTTCTATCTGTGATTAAGTTATCAAGTAAGAACATAATGTTTCATAGAGATTGGCTGCTTTTGACAATAGCTATTTAATTTCTTTAGGATAAAATGGACCAGTTGTTACAGATGTTGCAAAGTACAGATCCCAGTGATAATCAGCCAGACTTACCAGAGCTACTTCATCTAGAAGGTAAACCTCATTTTCTATCTACCTTGCAAGCAAAGAATAAGTAAGTACCAGAGATCTTACTATATTGCTCCTAGATGGCTTTTGAGAGTCATCTTAGAAACAAGCATTACACCTTCTTCCTGTGCCTGTCTCACCTTTTATGGGCTGTTTAAATCCTGAGTAGGGGTTGAAATCACAAACCTTGCTATACAGATTATTTTGTTCAGCACTTTAAAGTCTTATGAAAAAAAAAACTTTTGAAATCGGTATTTTTAAACTGTCACCATTATACTTTAAGAAAATGAATTTTGGGTTCTATTGACCAGAGATAATTAATATTTTTATTACTTCACATTAAACTTTTCATTTCTTTAATGAGCATTTTTCAGAAGTTTACTTTCTTTTCTTGTCTTTTCTTATTCCTCCAAAAATTGCCATCTTAGCGATGTGTCACCAGATGGGACCTCTCATTGATGAAAAACTGGAAGATATTGATAGGTAAAGAACTTGTACTGTATTTAAGTTGTGTATCTTTGTCTCTGAAACCATTTCAGTAAACTGCCATTTTATAAAGGTGTTCCAGCCTGCAAAGGTGACTCACATGGTAAACTGCCTGTCACATAACCACAAGGACCCAAGTTTGGTCCTTGAAGCCCACATAAAAAAGCAGGACATGGTGGTGCATGCCTATAAATCCAGCCGGGGCAGTGAGGGTGGGGAGAGGAAGGAAGAGGTAAGGTGCAGATAGGCAGATCCCTGAGGACTCCTGCCCAGCCAGCCAAGGTGCATAGATGAGCTTCAAGTTCAGTAAGAGATCCTGTCTCAGAACTAAAGGTAGAGAGCCATAGAGAAGATAACCCAATGTGTCTCAGGCTTCTGTGTGTGCATACAGCTGTTACGTACACCACACACAGAGACAGTACTTTAAAGACCCATTCTTTTGTTCGCACCTTGATTTGAGGATTTAGACTCATTTGCCCTTTCTTGAAAAGCAAGGCCTTCTCCATCTTCCTTTTTTATATAATTGTGCTTACTAAAGTGGCATTACCAAAGCCCACAGTCTGCATCTGTTGATAAATAAAGAAATCTAGAGAGTTCCAGGTACAGTCCAGCATGGGATCTAACCTGAACATGTTTTATGTCACCTGAGAGCCAAGGGAGAAGGGTCTTTTTGTCCCATCTGTGGTATTTAGAGTCACTATTTAGAACATTGTGTCCTTTAGCAATCAAATTATTGTGTAATGTTTCAGAAAACATTCAGAACTCTCAGAACTAAATGTGAAGGTGATGGAAGCTCTCTCATTGTATACGAAATTAATGAATGAAGATCCAATGTATTCTATGTATGCAAAATTACAGAATCAGCAGTATTATATGCAGTCATCTGGTGTTTCTGGTTCCCAGGTATGTTTTGTAAAACCCAGGGGTGTTATGCAAATTCTTGAATATACTTGAGATGATTTAGAATGTCTGTTTTTGTAAAATGCATGATTGTGTGTGTGTGTGTGTGTGTGTGTAACACATGTGTGTTCTGGGCCCCTTGTTTGCCAGAAGAGGGTGTTGTTTCCCCTGTAGCTCGATTTACAGATGATTTTGAGTTGTCTAATGTGGGTGCTGGGAACTGAACTTGGGTTCACTAGAAGCAGGACATGCTTTTAACCACTGAGCCATCTCTCCAACCCCAAATGTGTAATTTATTCAGCATAATGTTTACAATAAAAATGTTAATAGAATTTTTAAATTCGCAAATATATAATGCTGAATATACTAGTGTGTGTGTGTATATATATATATATATGTACATTTTTAATTTTTTTTCTTGTACAGGTATAAGTAGCAAAATTACCCACTAAGTAGTTTCCCCCCCCCCCAACGCTTTTTCTTTTAGTAAAGGTATTTTGATCCTGCCCTAGACCTGTAGTATCAAAGCCTTTAAAGTTTAGGTTCATATTATAAAATTTCAGGCTTGGTGGTTAAAGACCCCTGGTTGTTCTTCCAAAGGGCGGTTCAATTCCCAGCACCCATATGGCAGCTCACAACTGTCTGTAACACCAACTCCAGGAGATTCAGCATCTAGATAAATCACAAATGCATATAAAATAAAGCTAAATAAAAAATTATTAAAAAATAAACCTTCAGTTTTTCTATAATTTTTTTAAAAAATCTAATATTCTGAGTGTCTACAGTTTTTTACACTGAACTACTTAGGTTAAGTGTTCTTTTTATGATTTGTTTTTATTTTGTGTGCATTAGTGTTTTGCCTGCATTTACATTTTGTCTGAGGGTGTTGAATCACTTGGATCTGGATTACAGGCCGTTGTGAGCTGTCATGTGGGTGCTGGGAATTGAACCTGGATTCTCTAAAAGAACAGCCAATACTCTTGACCACTGAGCCATTTCTCCAGCCCTGGTTAAGTGTTCTTATTCAAGAGGCTGAGAGTCAACCTTGAGTTATGGATATGTTTATGACATAGATTATGATTATGTTTTTAAGGGTATTATATAATTATCTCCAGCTTATTAAGTTGGATTCACTAAATATATGCAGCCCTTTATATGTCAGTCATGTTTTAGTTAGACTGATAAAAGCCCCCAAAGTAAAATGTACCATTTCCAATGGCTAAAAAAATTGTTTTAAACAAAAAGTGAATGTTTACTTACCTGTAAGAAGAGTACCTAAATGTGTGAGAAAAATGAGAAACTGTTGAACACCTACAAAATAGAATATTTATGTGTACACTCAGAGCGGCTTTCATGGGGGAGCTGCTCCTCCTTCCATTGTCCCACATGCATTCAACATGGAACACCTTTTCCTCTTCCTACCCAAGACTGTTCAAGAGCCCCCTGGGCCATCAAGTAAGTTTTAGGTATAATTAGACAAGAATAATAAAACGTAGCCATGAGAACTTGTTTAGCTGTGCTTATCATGAAGACCTTTGGGATTCTGATGCATATCTGTAACATTTAATGAAATAGAGGGTGATTTCCTGGTGATTGTGTTAATTTCTTAGCACATGAGAACAATTTTTATACAATGTAGACAGTAGAATGTCTATTCAAATATATAAATAGACTTTAACAGTAACTAAAAGAATGTTTGAAGACAAACTGTTTAAGATTTCAATGAGCCATGGTGGCTCATACTGGTAAGCTAATTGCTAAAGAGGTTGGCTGAGCTTATGACAGTACATAACTGTAATCCCAACATACAGGATGAAGCAGAGGCAGGAGGATTTTTGCATGTCTAAGGCCAGCCTGTACCACATAGTTAGACTGTACCAAGCCTGTCAGGGTTGCAACCAACCTTCTTCAGAAAAAAAAAAAAAATTGGAACTTCTGTCTCTTTACATTTAAATACAACAACAAAAAGAACAGCTTTTAGATATAAGAATTGGCAAACAAGCCTAGCCTGCTGCCTGTTTTTTGTTTTGTTTTTTTTAAAATATTTATTTATTTATATTTTACATACATTAGTGTTTTGCCATGAGTGGTAGGTCTCCTGGAACTAGAATTACAGACAGTTGTGAGCTGCCATGTGGTTGCTAGGAATTGAACCCGGGTCCTCTGGAAGAGCAGTTAGTGCTCTTAACCACTGAGCCATCTCCCCAGCCCCTGCCTGTTTTTGTCTAGACACAGCCCCTCCATTTGTCTTACAGACATTTATTTTTGCTTTGTAGCTTCATTCTAAACCTATAGAATTGAATACTTACAGTAGACTCTCTGGATTTTATAAGAGCATTTCTTAACCCATATCGTCAGAAGTTAGTATATTCTCTATTCATTAAATTAGTTTCTAAAATGTGAGTTATAAATACAGTCTGGAGCTATAAAACAATGGATTTAAGTATACTTCCAAAGTGTTGGGATTCTCATATATTAGAACTTTTTCATGCAGTTCTGATCATGGTTTTTTCTTCCCTAGATCCTCCCACCTCCATACTCCCCCAACTCCCAAACAAACCAGAATAGAAATTAAAAAGACCTTTTGAAAGACCAACATGGAAACTATATCATTAATTTAGTACTAGATGTATTTTTTTACTGCTTCTATGTGAAATTAAAATCTGTTCATGTAATACTTAAAAATAAAAATTTGTAATAGGAAGTTGGTTCAGTGAGTAAAGTGTTTGTCAGACTGGATGATTCCCAACTCTCTTGTAAATGCCAACTGGACATACTAACCTGCCTGTAATCCCAGCATGTGGACATATAGAAGGGATCTCCAGAGCAAGCTGTCTAGCTGTAGTACCCAATTAGGTGAGTTTTGGGTTCAAGTGAGAGACCCTAGCTGTTAGAAGGTGGAAAATGTTCAGGAAGACATCTGACATCAGCCTTTGGCCTCCACATGCTCCCACCTACTCATACATACACACACATTTCTGAAAACATACATATACTTTTAAAAAGATTAAAAAATCATCAGTCTACCAAAAAATGTTTTTCATAAAATTCCAGCTGGTACAATAACATTTAAAAGAAGTTCTAAAGGAGTAATGTTTGCTATTTTTGTAACTGAATGTCTCTGCTGAATAAGTTTGAAATAGGCATTAAAATTGAGTAATGGAATGTTTCCTTATCACCTTTTGTAGGTATATCCAGGACCTGCTCAAAGTGGTACCTACCTGGTTACGGGGAGTGCACAGATGAGCCATCTCCAGAGCTACAGTCTGCCCCCAGAGCAACTCTCTTCCATCAGCCAGGGAGCAGTTCCACCCTCTGCAAACTCTGCTCTTCCTAGTCAGCAGACCCAGGCTTCTTACCCAAAGTAATTTGATTATTGGTTATTGGGGGTTCATGTTAAAATTCTTTAATTGATTCCCGTGGTCTATAATCACAAGCCTGGGTGAGAAAAACTGGAGGCTGGCGTTGCTGTTCAGACTTCCCCGTCTGTAGTGTACAGTGGGTTTTCTAAGAAGCCAGCCTAATGGTTTTTCTCACAGCAAGAAAGGCTACATTTTCAGAGTTCACCAGCACAGTGTTTCTAGGTAGCAAAGGCACACTTTCTAGAAAGCAGTAGTGTCTGCAAATGCTCCTATATGCACCTCACAATTGTAGTACCCTTCCACAGAGTTGTGAGCTTTAAAACAGTTAGGTTGTCGTGTTTAGAATGCTAAAGTGACTTTAAGGAAGGTAATGAAGCCTAGAGCTCAGAGGCTATGGTGAAGATCCAGTTCCATGCTTTATATTTAACACTATTGATTGACTTACCCTTAAAATAACCTATGAGAGAGATACACTGGCATCTCCATTTTGTTAATGGAAAACTGAGATGTGGACTAAGGTTCCACTTAACTAAGATCTAAAATCAGGCATTCTGGCTCCAGAGATTGCTACATTGCCTGCATACTGAAATTCTTTCTCATAGTGTAGCACGTTTGGAATGATAGTATGTGTGTATGCATCATTAATATGCTCTGGGAATGTACTAAATGTCCTGTAAACGCTTGCTTGTCTCCCTTTATGTTATACTCTTCTCAGTTCACAGTTCCACTGTTTACCTGATAGCCATGGCTAAACCCTGCAGTTTATAAAGCTCTGTTTTCTTATTTCTCCTCTGTTGTCTGTTTATCTTGACAATGAATATATAACTAGTTATTAATCTCCAAAATAAATCTTTTCCGTTCATATCTTGATGTTATCATTGGATACTAATAATTTCTTACCTAATCACCATGGCTGCACAGCTTTTTTGCCCACCATGAATCAGTCTGTCCATTTACTACATAAAAATGAGTTGCTCATTGACGAAGACTCTAGTCTATTCATTCTGCAGTCCTCATCATTTTCTCCAGAGTCTCTCTCTCTCTGATCTTGTCATCCACCTTAATTCCGTATGCTCCAGCACATGCCGGCCCTTTTGCCCTTCCTGTGTACTCCCACAGGCCCTACTACCACATTTTTGTTGCTTATGGAACATCTTCCCTGTTTTTACTCCTTGGAAATATACAAATTGGATATATTTTCTTGGAAAACTTCCTCAAAGCTTAAGGCACCTAATTTATTGCATAATACATTACATATTTTATATATCTCCTCCAACTAGACAGCATCTCGAAACTAAGAAACTAAGTCATATTTGTATAGGAAGCATATGTTCACTGTTTTCTTTTTTTATTTTTAATTGAATTTTGTTTTTCACAAGTATTTCCAGGTTTGTTGAATTTATCACTCATTTTAGGTGTTGATATTATTGAAGACTTTCTGTGAAATGAATGCTTTTAAAGTTAATTTCTCTTTATTATTTTCATCTTTCTGTCATATTTTTTAAAATTCTTCATGGTTCCTAACTTTGGAAATACACGCCTATACCAAAGATTCTCTTCTTTCAGGAGGCCTTTCTTGACTGCCGCATTTCTAATTGAAATAGTCTCATATCAGTCACTTTAAAAAAGATTGCTTTTGTTTGTATCCCTCTTCTTCTGTATGTGTGCCTGTTCCTCCTGTCTATGTCCCTCTCCTGTCTGTCTGTGCCTGCTCTTCCCCTCTGTGTCCTGGTCCTCCTGTCTATGTCCTGCTTGTTTGTTATACCTGTGCCTCATCCTCCAGCCACACACATTTCTTCCCAGTGCTGGGGATCAGCCCAACCTTATACACAGGCAAGTTTTCAACCACTAGTCTATTCCTCATCTTAATTAAATTCTTGTTGCAAAAGGAGTGGCGGGCTGCGTTTCCGCCGGCTCCCCGGCTAGTTTACACCCGAAATAATTACACAGAAACTGTATTCATTTAAACATTGCCTGGCCCATTAGTTCTAGCCTCTTATTGGCTAACTCTCACATCTTGACTGACCCATATCTAATAATCTGTATGCCACCATGAGGTTGTGGCTTACCTGCATGAGTCTAGCCAGCGTCCATCTCGGGAAGGGGAATCATGGCATCTGCCTGACTCTGCTTTCTTTGTCCCAGCATTCTGTTCAGTCTACTCCACCTATCTGAATTCTGCCCTATCAAAAAGCCAAGGCAGTTTCTTTATTAACCAGTGAAACTAACACATAGAAGGCCCACCTACTCCAAATTCTTAAGCATCTATTTGGTAGATAAAATAATTGATAAATAGACCCACAAGCTATGGTGACTTTATCACTTACTTTCCTCTCAAAATACTGTCACCACTATAAGTAGATTTTGAAAACTGCATGAGTACCACCTCCTGAGTGAGCACCTTCTGAATGGCTATGGGACAGATGTCTGAAAAGCTCTTAATTCTAAAACTAAAACTGTGTGTGAAGGAATAAGAAATTGTCTCCTGTGACTGTTCCCTTATTGATTCTACAGTACAAAGTTGTTAGTCCTGAAACCATATACATACAAACAACAAAAATGGATTCAGCAGATTGTATTTATATATTTGTGCACACACATATGTATGTAACAATAATCAGAGGGGGAAAAGCTATCAATTTGAGAGTAGGGAGCATGGGAGGGACTGGAGAAAGGAAAGAGGGGTGTATAATGTGTTTGTGTGCTTTTGTTTTTTGTTTTTATTCAAGACAGGGTTTCTCTGTGTTGCTTTGGAGCCAGTCCTGGAACTACTCTTGTAGACCAGGCCGGCCTCAAACTCACAGAGATCCGTCTGCCTCTGCTTCTGCCTCCTGAGCACTGGGATTAAAGGCGTGAACCACCACTGCCCGGCATGTGTGTGTTTTATTTTATATTTTTTGTATTTTTTTTTTTTAAAAAAAAGAATAAGCAAAATAGCCTTCTATATGTATGTTCAAGAGGACTAGGAAAACCTGCTTGTCAGTCAGTAAAAATCTTTCTGGCCTGGAAAGCTCAATCAGATAACAGCATCCCTGATTCACCCTGGGCCTTGCTTTTTTGTTTTTGCTGTTAATCCTCCGTTTGCTCTGCTAGCAGTTGCCTTATTTTTCCTTGTAAGCACACATTTGTCTATACACGTATAAATATAGTATAATCAGCTCATATATTAGAGTCTTTATAAAACCCACCCAAGGAATTGAAAAACAGCAACGACTTCTATCTTAATTTAGCATGTGATAAACTACTAAGTGTCGTCATTAATGCTTTAAATATTACATCGTCACTGAGTTCATGGTATAAAATTGTGCCCTGTAAAAAGAGGGAAGAAACTCAGTTCTAGCTCTTAAGACTACCATAGTTTTATAAAAGACACATAAAAATGGCAGTCACCAGACAAAACAACGACAGATATACAAGCAGGGTCTGATGGCACCGAGAAGCAACAGATAGCGATGAAGGAAGGCAAAAATGTTCTAGAGAAAATGAATCCAAGCTAAGAACTAACTAGAGAACAAGAAGCCAAGAAAGGCAAACATTTAAAGAGCATGCCCTACAGAAAGCACCTGTAGAGTGCACATATGTTCCTTCAGCGGCAGCATTCATGTTCCACTGCATGTAAGGTCAGGCACATAAGGATGTAGATGCTCATAGGTACGGTCACAGGTAGATGTGCTGGTAATTGCTGTGTGTGTGGAGGGGGTGCCCTTAGACTGTTTTACTTTTATTTAGGGAAATAGGGAGATGGTCATGCTTACACTCATTAGTCCATTGTAACTATTCTGTCAAGATGCTGCTGATGTCCATGTTGCCAGATTTTGTGGTCATTTCACAAGTCTCCTACCTTGCTTTACACATTCCCTTCCCTATTTTTAATGTGTTTCAGGCCACTGTCAATTGGCTTCCCTTTTTGCTTCCTGCTCCTCGTTTGCCCTTGCCAAATGCACCTTTGTATCAAGAAATCTTGGGCCCATTGTATGGACTGCTCTGTTCTGCTCAGTCATTTCCTAAAGGTCCTCTGAATGAGGACTCTTTTTAGTGTCTGTTTTGACTCCTGTTCTCCCCTGGGACTACAGACTGCATATACACTGTTTTCTTGAGGTGTCCAAAATCATTCTTTGTTAAGTTGCCCACTCTTCTCTTGTTCCAGTCAGCTATAGTCCAAGGTGTAGTTTTCTCCTTTTAGTAAGTTGCCATTGCAGTTATTTTTATCAGTTACAAAACCAGACATTCTAGACTACTTGGTCTGTTATCGGATTTCGATGGCACTTTCTTCAGAGTAGGGTGTGACTCTTCTGTCTCCACTGTGACTCTGGACACCTGTCATTTCTCACATCTGTTCCCGTTCCCATGAGCCTATCAAAATACAAGTCATATCTCATTACCTTTCTCCTCAAAAACCAACAAGTGTGTATTTCCCTTCACTCACAAGCGTAGCCCTGTGACTTTTAAGGTCACTGAATCTTCTGCAGCCCCTTCTCTACCCTGCCACTTAATCTCTTACACCACTTATGCTGTATGCTCATCTGCTACAGTTGCATTGGCTTCCTTTCTGTGTCTTGAACATACCGCATTCTAAAACCTCAGAAGCTTCTTTCCCTTAGCCTAATGTGTGCTTTTCTAGACTGCTTATAATGGTTCCTGTTCTTTCCTAAGCTTTCCTTGAATAACGCCTTATCTGAAAGGCCTCCCTCTTGCACCCTACATAAATGAGAATCCTTTGTCCCTGGTATTATTTACCATGTTCTATTTTTCTTCACTGTGACATTAACCATTGACATACTATAAATTTTGTCTTTTTTCTCCCACCAAAATACAAGCTCTTTAATAGTAGAAACTTATTTTTCTTCCTTCATAGTATCCCAGTGCTTCTATAACAGTGTGTGACACTTTAATAAATTATCAAATGCATGTAAGTGGATGTTTAATAGTTTTCATGTTTATATCTGAATGGGAACACAATTCATTATTTAGTTTAGCTAATTGTTTTCCTCCCTCCACAGTGCAATTGTTAGCTCTGTTCAAGGAAACTCGTATCCCAGTCAGGCTTCATTATATAGTCCTGCTGCTGCTGCTGCTGCTGCTGCTGCTGTACCTGTACCTATTCCTGCTGCTGTACCTGTGCCTGCTGATGTCACCATATACCAGAACGCGGGACCTAATATATCCCAGGTGCCAAACTATACTTTAACATCATCAGCCCTGCCTCAAGGAGGAGGAAGCCAACAGCCACCTCAGCCACAGCAAGCATATTCTCAGAAGGCTCTGCTATAGGACTTGATGTTCCTCTTGGTGGCATGTTTTCTGCTGAATGCCATTGACAATGTTAGGAGATTCATTAACATCCTAAGATTTGTTTTTCCTCAGCTTATAGGAATCTGTCTTGGTCAACAAGTTCAAATATTCAAGAAGGTAGAACTGTCTTCAATTTGCACTGACTTTTTAGAGGTCTGCCCCTTCCCCAGAGGAATGAAACTACTTACAACATTTATTTCCTTTCATAATATGAAGAATCTTTACAAGATTATTATCTTGTAAAATTACCTGATCTGCAACACTCAAAAGTTCAAAAACTGCTGTGGCAAATGTTATGTACATATATTGACATGTAACTTCATTAGTGACCATTTGAATTACAATGGTGATCATGTGAATATATTTAACACTGTTAAATTAATTTACATTGCTGTTTTATTTTAATCATGAACAACTACCATGTTTGCTAATGTTTTGTGTAAATTTAAGTACACTATCTCTTTAAGCTGCAAGAGAACCAAGTTGTAGCACATTGACCCGAAGGCATTGTTGTCCTGTTGTAGTGTCACATTAAATCGAACCTTCCTTTTACTAATTGTGAGCAAAACCTATGTATGTTATGTCTTTCTGTAGCTTCTGCCCGCTACTGGCTGTCATCACACCAGCATACAGTAGCCACATTTTTGGTGCAGTTAGAGGAGAATAATGTTCCCTTTAAACTTTTGTATTTTGGCATGATGTTCCAGGTATTGTGGACCATGAGACAAAAATTAGTCTTTATATATTATTTTTAAAGAAGTAATGTTGATTTACTTTTCCCTAGTTGAATGTGGTGATTAGATTTTAAAGCGGTATTCTGTTTTCTTGGTAGCAGTGACACCAAAGATAGAGGCAATGCATAGAAAGTTTTCAACGGGAAAAAAATGAACTAACACTATGTTTTCAGAGTCTCTTGTAATTTTTAAGATCAAAACAAAATTTGATTCACTTGTCTTACCCCACTAGTTTTTTAAGATATGTCTTTGACACATTGTATCTTTCAATTCTCATTAAAATGGCTATAAGTAGGTGTTTGAAAGTAATTTATATTCCTGACTTTTTTTAATAGTTTATATATTTATTATTAAGTTTCAAACTGGAGTTTTTAAGTTTTTTCCTCTTTCTCTGTCTCATTTGTAGTTCTATTGAAATTGTTTTTGCTTCTAATTTAGGAGTAATTTTAATGAATTATTTTAATCCATACAAAAAGGTTTTCCACTGATATTTTAGTCATAAATATTTATAATTTCCCTGGTTGTACTATACCAGTGCTTAAATAATCTAAAATTTCGGTACCATATTTAGCTAATAGAACTAAGTTTTCCTCTTGTGAATGCAAATTACATTTTCATTTCCAAGACGTGTCTATTTCTTTTTTTGATAAATGACTTCATCTTTGACAGATAATCTTAAGGGTGATTAATTCACAGGTTCATATTTAAAGCTCCTTTTCACCCTTAATTTTACTTGAGTTTAAAGTATGTCATCATCATATAGTAAAGTTTTTAATTTACGTGTCACGTTTTAGATATTTCTAAATAAAACCTTGCTAGCAGTTAGACTATAATCTTTGTTCCAATTTAAATATGGTTAAAGTGATATACTTTCCTCTAAGTCATATTGTATTTTCTTTTTATTTTAATAAGTTCCTGTTTACAACTATATTCCCACTTTAATTTTTGATATCTTTGTGTTAAAACATCAACAAAATATTTTTTAGTATGCTTCTACCCTATAAGTTCATTAGTGGCAAAATGAAAAAAGTTACCAATTTTGCAATGCATATATGTTTTTATTATGTGTTACAGTGTATAAAGAGTTGAATGAGTGATTGACTTTTTCTAAGTGACATTACTTGGTTAAGTGTGCAAATACTTGGTAGAAAAATCCAGTGAAAATGAAGCACTGGCCTTTCACCTTCAAGTGGCATGACAAGGGTAGACGATGGACTAATTAGGACCACAAATAGTTTTGTTTTAAATCCCATGCAAGTTGCATTTCGAGAAAATCTTTGCTGTGTGTGATAAATGATACACTAATTCTAGCACTCAGAGGTAGCGACAGGTAGATCGCTCTGTGAGTTTGAGGCCAGCCTGGTTGATAAAGTGAGTTCCATGCCACCCAGGCTACATAGTGAGACCCTGTCTGAAAAAAACCAAATAACAGAAATTTTCATTGACTGCTGTCTGTAGTGGTCTATTTCATCAAAATTTGGATAGCTGTCAATGAAAAATTTTAAATCAAAGTATCTATAGAGTAAATGTCAATGAAGAAACTTTTTGGTTTATTCTTTTTAAGTCTGGGAAATGTTTCTGTGAAAGTGACAGCTAAATGAGCCCAGTGCAGCCCTGTTCTGTGCTGCAGGCCCTACGCAGCATTGGATGTGATTATGTCGGTGCCCTGAGGCTAGCCAAGTGTGGCTTGTGCCGTGCACTGATGATTTCATAGACGTTCCTGACCCTTTGGTCTTCTGTCACTGTTACCTGTCACCCCCCTACTTGGGGATGAACATTTTTCTAATATATGGCCAGAGATGCCCTTCTTATTAATTACTTCTGAAATATTTTTTTCTTTTCTCTTTGCTTTAATACTTAAAGTGTTCAATAAATCAGCATCATTCATTTTTAATATAGAGGACTTACATGTGTGACATCTGCCTCATTAAGCTTGAAAATCTCTTTTGTCTAGTGCTTAAGTTTGTGTTAGATTGATGCCCTACGTAGTAAACTGTGCGACTCTAATAAATTGTAGAAGTTTTTTCCTAATATGAGGTTTATTGGTATAATTGGTCAACTTCACCCAATATACGTTAAAACCATTGTTTTAGTTTTCTTGCCTGTTACCTCATTTTACTTACCAATTATATTATAATAATAATCGCTTCCTGTTAAAGCTTTTTATGTTAATAACAAAACTTAAGTTTAAAATTTTGATTCATTTGTTGTTTTCCAATGATTTTGTTAGGTTTTTAATTTTTGGCTTTTTTGGTTTGCTGGGAGTTAATAACCGCCTGTATCTTTTATTGTGAAGAATATGTAGAAGAAACAATCTAAAGTGGTGTTTTCAGTTATCTGTTATCTTAGAAGGTAAGTAGCAACTACTGTATTGACTGGTGCTGTGGGTGGTGCTTTACCCAGCAGCCGTCTGCACAAGAAGTTTCAGTCCTACAGAGAGGCTTCTGCACCAAAGACTGAAAGAGTAAAATGTTGACTACCCAAACATCCTTCTTTTACATTTACTATTGCTGCAATTTGCTTTATGTCTTTGTGTGTATTTATGTACATGTGTATTTGTAGGTGTACATGTGTACACACACACACACCCCTACTTTATTGAATGCATAAAAATGCTACAAATGGAAGCTGTATGCATGACTACTTCATGTTTCCTATAAGAATAAGGACAACCTCCCATATAATGTAAACCACTGTCATGTTCAGGATAACCAACGGTGATTCTTAAGATATTATCATAGTTACTCTCCATGACCATGTCATTCATTCATATATATATATATACACACACACACACACACACACACACATATATATATATATATATATATTCATTCTTCAATCTAGTATCCATTCCAGGAGTATATGTCACCTATATAATGTCCCTTTACTCTGTCACTAATCTGGATAATCCCCATTGTCATCTTTCTGTACTCATGTTGACTTTCTAAGATCCACACTATGTCATAGAATCACCCTCATTCTAGATTTTTTGTTTCTTTGTAGTATCCTTTAACTTAATTTTTTAATGTCCAATGGAAATTTGTATTATTTTGTTTAATTTTTATGCTTTATTATAAAAGCTTTGTAAATAAACACCAAGATTATCCATACCAAAAGATCACACAGCCAAATTAGCTCTGTACAGTTAAAATAGGTATTCCAAATGGAAACTGGAGCTTCATATTGGGTTTTATACTTTAAATATCAAATATATTTTTGTGCACTTATCTACTACCCAAATCTGAAAATCCATTCTCATTAAAGTTACTCTTATTCCTAAACAATATATTAATTAATCACAACCCACATGACTTATACATAGAAGTAATGAAGCTACAGACTGGGAGATGTCTCAGCAGGTAAGAACATTTGCCGCACAAGTTTGAGGACCTGAGGTCAAATCCCTAGAATGCATATAAAGAGCTAGATGTAGTCGTGTTTGCATTTACCCAGTACTGTGAGAGGTGCCCGGCCTCAGTAATGTTGCTAGGCCTCCCTGGTTGTCAGCTTAGCTCTGGTTTCAGTGTGAGACCTGGTCTTGAGGGATGGGGGCAGTGGTGAGAGGGAGAGCAGTAGGCTGGTGTCCTCTGGCTTCCCTGAGTGTGCATAAACTACATATAGACCACACATACATGTGCAGGAAAGCAGTGGAATGAATTCTCATGTTCATTTCAGAAACCACATATAAATAACCGTGGTTAACCGTGTAGTTTCTGTCTGCTGTGTATAACAGTAAACTTAAGGCTCTGAGGCCAGAGAGAGGTGCAGCTTTGTTTTCGTTTTCAGTAGCATTCAGAACTGAAGAAAATTGTGCTGGACACAATGGCCCAATTCCCCCATTCTCACCAAAGTGAGCTTTTCTCAGTGATTCACACACCCTTTGGACTCAAGTGGATGGCTTTGGGGTAACTTCATAAGTGCTATAATATATATAAGGACTGTATTTTCAGATACATAAATTTGGTTTGCCTGTAAAAGATTTCTTAACCTAATGCCAATACCAGGATGTTGAAAGGGCAAGGAAATTAATTCTTTTTTAAAAATCAGAAGTATTCATTTCCTCCAGTTGTATACCAAGTTGGAGTCAGGTTGAGGAAAGTATAGTGAAGTTACAGACACATGCAAGATGTACTGATGAGTGCCGTTTAGATTGTTAGGGTTTGACGGTAAGTCCTACTTCAGTTGATGGATTAAAAAATACAACTAATTACTGTTTTTGGATGTATTCATTATAAATGATTGTGTATCTTAAAGAGAAACATGATAGTTGAAAACGTTTTTGGTTGGATTCATAGTATAGAATATCTGCTAGGTAGGGCAGATCCAAAGTGGAGAATTAATATAAAACTACATACAAAGGTTCCTTTTTCTCTAAATCAAAATTACTGAAAAACTAATGAACACACATTCAAAGGGGTTGCTAAAACTGACTGAAGAAGTAAACAAAGATGCAGATAAATTCACTTTAAGAGGCTTCATGGTAACAAGTTCATTCATGTAATTGGATAGCACAAGGTCAGATAGTGGCATTAACTTCCACTGCAAGTGTGTCAACGTTTTTGTGTCATAAAGAGCTCTTGGAAAAGCAAGTGCTTGATGGTAGTGATAGTACTTGGCATTGGGGATAAGAGTAGATATATTTACATATATATCACAAATATGCACACACGTCCATTCCTCTATTAAGTGGAAATTTCAGTTTTTGCCCTAGATATTCAGAGGACTGTACTTTAACAGAGTTACAGCTTTTCTCAAAAGAATGACCTTGCACAGCTATGTGATTCCTCCAAGACCTGCCTTCTATTTACTTGGAATTTACAGTGCTTGTGTACCTACAGAATCAATTGTAGTCTCTGCTTCCAGTCTTCTTCGTCTGTCTGAAATATCCAGCTATTTGGCCTGAGTGATGTACTCAGGCCAGTTAACCTGTGCTAGCGTAGATGAGCAGAGCACGTGTGGCGGCACTAGGGACGGTAGCACTGGAATTGCATACTCTAGCTGTGCAGACTTGCTTTGGTGATACTGACGCTCTCCGCAAGCCAGTGAGTCTTTTTCTGTGAGGCTTCTGCCAGAACATATGCTCTCTGACAGAAGGGCTTTCTTTTTACAGTAACCCTGTTTTATTGGTTCTGAACTGACTGTTGTCATAATCATCATTGCAGTGTAGGGACATAGAGAGTATTTGTATACTTAAATCACCGAAGAAAGGTAGTATAAGGTTGATATTTATTCTCGGTGTCCTAGTGTGCAGTGTGGTATTCTTTGTCCTCAAACAAAATGGAAGTAGTGTAGTTCTTCACCTCCTT